TGTTGTTGTTGTTGGTGTTGGTGTTATTGGTGTTGTTGGTGTTGTTGGTGTTGTTGGTGTTGTTGGTGTTGTTGGTGTTGTTGGTGTTGTTGTGGTTGTTGGTGTTGTTGGTGGTGGTGGTAGTGCTGGTGGTGGTGGTGGTGGTGGTGGTGGTGGTGGTGGTGGTGGTGGTGTCGTTGTGGTCGTGCTCGTGGTCGTCGTCGTCGTCGTCGTCGTCGTGGCTGTTGTTGTTGCTGCTGCTGTTGTTGCTGCTGCTGTTGTTGTCATTGTTGCTGCTGCTGGTGTTGTTGCTGTTGCTGCTGTGGTTGTGGTTGTGGCTGTTGATGTTGTGACTGCGTGCAGGATGACGAACTTGAAAACGGTGGTTACCGTCACAATGGTCACCAGTTACCACCATGACTTCAGACATATCAAGCTTCATCCCTCGAACACTCAACGGCAATTCCTAAGGTCCTGACTTCTCAGCTCCACACTCTTGCTTCCCCCCAAACCCTAAACTCTAAACCCTAAACCCTAAACCCCTGTCCCACAGCCGCCTGAAACAGCCCTGGTTGCGCACTCCCTCTGTCCCGCAAGCCGGCTGTGCATCCCGCTAACAACAGCACCAGGCCGCCAATTGCTAATTCGTGACATCGTTCGGCCAGCATAGGTCGTGCGTGCTGCTTATACAATCAGAGTGTCACAAGGCAACTAAAAAAAGGCCTAAACCTGAACCCTAAACCCCAAACCGCAATCTAGTTATTGCTTCCAAGCAACCCCAAGGCGTGCTGGATTTCTCCTGCTCCCTTTCCGCCTCCCTTCCTGCGAGGCCAACTCGTAGGCTAGGGCGTCGGGATTGGAATTGGGCCCGGGCGCGTTCGGACTGGGAATGTAGGAGCCTTAACAAGTAAATTAGGGTTTTGGGGCAGATAAACAGGAACCCCAAAATAGTATAGGTCACTATTTAGGCCGCCCCTATATTAGTAGCTTCATGGTCGTCTTCGACCCCTCTCAACCGAAGGATGACTTCTTCTTGCAGCGACGGGCCTTCACCGCCCATTACAGGACCCAAGACGAGACCAGAACTGAAACGACCCGAAGGCCCTAGCAGGTTTAGGGTTTAGGGTTTAGGGTTTAGGTGACGCCTCAAAACGAACTGCGCCCTCACTCATGCAAGCCTGACCCCCGCTGTTGAGCATGCAATGACCCCAAGATCAATCCTCATGTGAATACGCTCTCGGGTCCATGCCAGCTTTTGTCCCCAAGCCCACATCCTATCAACCCTGAACCCTAAACCTTAATTTCTATAACCTTTAAACCCGAAACCATTGTTGCTTTGAAAGAACACGCTGCCCTGACCCGCCAGAGATGCGAAATATAGAAGCCTGAATGAGCATAATATAATACTATTCTTCGCACCCAACATTATCTGTTTCAATATGATATACCCCCCAAAACCTTCTCCTAGCCATCATGGCCCCCTATATTACAAGACCCTGATAGGCCCCTTGTGCACAAAAACACAACACCCCCTAAGCTCTATACAAACCTACAACATCCGATCATAATTTTGAAAGGCCCCCCTAAGCCCTAAACCCCAAACC